CCATTAAATTTTACTACTTTTTCCTTACCATTCCATACCATGTCAAATTCTCTGTTTATCTGACACATGAACCTAGGACCCCGTCTGGAACTCCATCACCATAGAAACATTTCTATAAGACAAATGCAATTTTAAGAATTATTTTTATTCCTTTGAATGTTGTTGTCATAATTTTAAGTAAACAAGACCTGTAGTGTTAGCTTTAATCCCTGCACCCCCAGCAGCCTAACTTCTAGGTTTAAAGCCACTGAACTTTCATTCTATTCCCTGGCACAAGCTCGGCCCCCTACCCCAGGCTTTAAAGATGCTGCCCTTGTCTCCCTCAGGGCAGACTGAAGTCTCTATTTCAGCCCCCAAAATGCTGCTTCACTTGTCTTGCAATAGATATTTCTGCACAGACTTGACATGTAGAACAGAGGTAAGGAAGTTGCAAAGGTAACTAATCCTAGTTTCCCTCACTATGGATGCTTCACCCTCAAACTCACTCTCTCCTTCTCCTTTATCTTTGCTCAATTTTCCCCTCAAGAGATCCACCACCATTCTTTATCCAAATCTTAGTGAATTTGGTATAAGACATAGGATGGTGGATTTTAAGAAGAAAAAATTCGGAGTTTTGGAGACAATATTTTAGTCTATTTTTTCCTTGCATCTGTAGACTCTCAATAAATATATATAATAGATAGAATTATGAATGATAATATTATTCAAAGACATGTTAGGAATTTCATATTATTTCTGAGAAACATATTAATCACACATGTCTGTATAATTCAAAGGCGGTGAAACATTTTCTCTTACTTCCCATGCAAATTGGACACATCAGATGATCTTTATTAGATTAATATCTCTTATTTTAAGAAAGAAAAAATGCTTTTGTCATGTTTTAAGAGCTCCATGGACACTTCCCATGTTAGTTGGAAGACAAAAATAAGCTCAATTAAAAATTTTATTTTGGGAAGTTGACAAAATTATGAAAATGTTGAAAATACTTCAATAAATATTGCTCAGTGTGAAACAATATCAAGACTCAACATATTATAAAGCCAGTAAAAAGGTCATATACTTTAAGATGAGCACTGAGATATTTTAATATTGAGAAAACACACTTTTCTTATATAATCAAGAATTTGATAAAAGACAACATGAAGTCTAAGAATGTATTTTGATGAAACATAAATCTTAATTTTCTGGACCAGTGTCATAAATATTAAATTCTTAAGTCCTTTTTATTTTTAGATCAATGTCATTTTAAAAGAATTCTAGTTAGTTTCTATTTTCTTTCATGAAATGTCCCTTTGATATTGAGTCTCTATTTAAAAAATAAGTCATAAGTAAACCCATTCAAGGCACCTGAACTACACATATATTTAACTTTTATAGATTCTTCTTCCAGAATCCTTTGTAATTCTCTTATATTTATTTAGATTTTGTCTTATACTTTTTCCTCTTCACCATTGTGGAAAATTCAGTAACTCTAATTTTGAAAGTTTTCACCAATTTTTTTTATTCAGCTAAGTTCCATTTTAAAGAATATAATTCAAAAATTTTTAAAAAGTGGCATAAGAAAGAACATTTATGAAATTCACACACTTCAGTGAAAATAAAATTTATACATTTTGTTGGGAAATATCATACTTGTGAAGTTTATCCTGGTAGTTAAAGTAATTCTCCATAGGTTGCGGTAATTCTCTATAGGTCATTCTTGGCATTGCTTCAGCCAAGAACAAAACAATGTAAAGCAAAGTTGAAAAAAGCTGCTGAGTGTATAATTACCTAGATACAACAATTCAAAAATAAAATCTAACTTCATAAATTAATGTATCTTATGATCTTGATCACAAATAGATTGTATTCTAATTTGCAAAAAATTGTTAGACAAGTCCATAATATCAAGACTCTTCAGCTGACTGAATCTGGCTTCGTTAAAATTTTAAATGAAAACCAAAAAAAAAGTAGTCTTTAAACTTTCTTACCTCTCCATAGCATACACTGTATAAAATTAAAGTTTTGCTTCCAAAAAATGTTTCCATGTGTCTTAGTGACTTTCTCATCTCTGGGCCACAATACTTGACAACAACAACTCCAAGAAGGAAAGGTTTGTTTTCATCTCACATTTGTGCATGTTTCAGTCCCTGAATGGCTGATTCCAAGGCAGAGGGGCACAGCAGAGGGGCATGACAGGGGAACTTGCTCATGGCATGCCAGTCAGGAAGTAGAGAGATGAAGGGAGAGAGAATGGTATGCATCTTTCCAGGCCAGGCTCCTGGTGCCTCATCTCCTCCAACCAGCTTTCATCTCCCAACATCACATTTAGTTACAAACTCATCAGTGGGCAAACCCACTGATGAATATTTTGGCCTCACAGTCCAATCACCTGCCCAGAGCCCCATCTACAAGTGCAGGAGACTTTGAGGAGATATCTAGATATAAACCATAGCAGTATGTAGCTCTACTATTGTCCAATAGTGGCCCTAAAGACATGATAAGTTTAAAAGCTGAAGTGTCAGTTTCCATAGAAATTAAACATTTTCTAAAGATCTGCTAGGTCTCTTAGTCCTAAAATGTCATTTTAAATTACATTAGAGTAAAAGGAACAAAAGTATAAATACAAAAATTGTATAACTAAAGTTGAGGACTCCTTTGACACAGAAGTGTGAAGAAAATATATTTTTCAGGTAACCAAATAGAATTTGTCTGGAATTGATTTGTGTACGGTCTAGTCAATGGCCTCCTTACCCTTGCCAGAGCTCCTCTGGAACACTTGAGTCCATATTAGTCAGTTTTCCCATTGCTTAGATAAAATATCTGACAACCACAACTTAAAGAAAAGAAGTTTAGGGTCTGGGGATGCAGCTCAGTGGCACTGCACCTGCCTTGCAAGCACAAGGTCCTCAGTTTGATCCCCGGTACCAGAAAAAAAAAAAAAAAGAAGAAGTTTATTTGACTCATTGATTGCTTCAGAGGATTCAGTCCATGGTTGGCCAGTTCCAAGGTAGGTCATCACAGAGGAAGGATGTGGTAGACCAAAGCTGCCTAGTTCATGGAATCCAGGAAGTAGAGTAGAGAAATTGTAGTGCTGAAAAATAAATGGATATTTGAACTTTAAAAACGGTCCTGACCTCCTTTCATATTTCAAATAGAACTTTGTTTGAAATGAGTTGTGTTCTTAAACATAATATCTGCAACTTATTATAATACTTCTAAAATAAACTGTAAAAGGTAATCTTGTCTTTGGAAGACATTGCAAAAAAAATGAGATAGCAAGTCATTGGCTGGGTGAAAACATTTATAAAACATGTTTGATAAAGGAAAAATATTTAAATTATAAAGTACAATTATAATTGAATAATAAAAGAAAATACAGTGAACCAAAGTAAATTATGGACACATTCATAAAAAGTTACATAAAAGCCAAACAACATGAAAAAGTGCTTAATGTCACTGATATTTGACAGAAAAATGTGAATTAAACCACAAGGAGATGCCATTATCCACTGACTACAATGGCTTAAAAAAATTATAAAAGTACCAACAGTTGAAGAGGACATGGAGCATCTGAAACTCATACATTCCTGATTGGAATACAAAGTGATACAACCTTTTGGAGAATTCTTTGTTAACTTTTAGTTAAGCTAACCATGTACTTATATTATTTGACATTTTATTTAGCCAATAGCAATAAAATCATAAAAGTGGAAAGAGAAACATATATGAATAGTGATAATCAGTTTTATTCATAATGGTCAATAATTTGGAAATATTCAAATGTTCATAAATAGGTAAAAAGATTTTATAAAAGTGTTGTATATCCAATAGTATTCAGGAATACTACTCAGGAATACCATTCAGAAAGAAACTACTACTCCAGAAAATAAAAGAAAGAAAATTCAAAAACAATGCTGACTTTAAGAAGCCTTGCATCTAACAGTTCACAATCTACACCTATACATATATATATATTTCATATACATATAAAATGCTAGAAATCAAAGTAATATTCATGGTTAACAGAAATAGGTGAGTAGTTGCCTGCATGCAAAGAATGGTGGAAGGAAGAAAGGACTGCAAAATCATGGCTTTTGTGATCACATAATGATACACAACATCAAAACTCTAATGGAAATATACAGTAAAAATTCTGCATTTTATAATATGTACTTACAAATTACATCTCGATAATATTTTTATTTATAATGTATTTTTATTTTATGCAAACTAAAACATTTTGCAATAAAATAAGAGAATAACAGTAATACATTATGTATTGTTATCTTCTCTAAATTACCTTTTCTGCTGTCTCAAAAATACTTTAGTATATGTGCTAATTCATTTCATTTACATACTACTTTCTCTTTGTTCATTAAAAAGTTTTTATGTCATCAGTTTGTTTCTTCTTTGTAAGAGAGAATCTTTTTGTATATGTCAATAATATTTACTAAAAACAGCATAGAACAAAATATCTATGAATGTATACATAATTACCAAAAGTTAACATCATTGTTTCATGTAGAAATTATCCATATTGAACTTATTATACTCTCAATGTGCCTATCCTGTAGGTACTAGCAAAAATCAGAAATCCAAGATTTACCTATTTCTGTTCAAAATAATTATTCTGATTGTCCTTAATTCTCCAATTAACAGGATAATAAAATGATTTCCTCAACTTCCCATCTCCAATGAGAGATTTTAAATTGAAGAGCTATTAGCAGCAAAATGTTGGAGGCTCATAATTAAAGTCTAAGTTTTCTATGAGAGATATTTTTCAATGGTAAGGGAATCCACCAATGATACTTTCTAAGAAGTTTCAAACTGTCAATAATGTAGGAATGCACTTCATAATATTGTAATGTTCTTAGGTAAGATATTATGATAGATGTTCAATTGAAAAACTCACAGTGACATTCACAATGGAAGGAATGATGTGAAGGAATAAATATCTTTGAAGTAGGTACCTGCTATTTTATCTAGAACATCCAATAGTACATGGTTCCAATGGCTTATGGAATTGTGAGCTTCTCATCCTTTGTCCCACACTTCAGCTGCCTCAGCACCAAAAGAGAGGCCTGCCTTAACTTGGAGTTTCCCAGAATCAGGATAAGTGAGTGGCTTGAAGGATAGAGGAGTCCAATATTCAGGGCAAGTATATGGACCAGTTCAATCTTATATATCTGAGAAATCCATGACATGAAAAGGGACAGAAAGTAACTAGTGTAGAATAGGAGGAAAGAGATCATTGTTTTCAAGGCATTTGTGTGAGCTTTGGTTCTAGGATCTCTGTGTCCTTTGGAATTGAGCTGCATCTTCTGGAGATGTTTCCACAAGGAGAAGATAAGCAGCAGAAAAGAGATCAAGGCCAGAATAAATGGTGTGAGGGAGAACATAGTTATGTTGAATATGATCAGCTGTGATAATGTTGCAGAATCACTCACTGTGGAATTCCAAGTTGTGATTCCTTCATACCAATTGTTCCAGTCTTCAATATGTGCTTTTATCTGTATCAGATTTAAAAACAAGAAGACCAAGCTTCCTAGCAGTATCATCAGAGTCACTTTTTTTACTCTCCACTTCAGAAAGAGAAAAATAGGCCTGGAGAAACTGGCTATTTTGAGCAAATAAAAGATACTGAGGACTGTAGCAAGCCAGACAGTGAAATGATGGGACAATATCCAGATAAAAATAGTAATTATTAGTTTTACATCTACTACTGAAAGTAAAGAATCCATAAGTTGAAACCAACTTACTAATATTTCCCAGATGAGTCCAATTCTAGAAATGGCCAACATGACGAGAATTTGATCAACTGAGGAGAGCTTTCTTTTATTGACCCAGTCAATAAAATTTAACAGTACTATAAATCCATTACTCAAATTTCCAATTATGAACTGCACAACCATTATGAGGATGAAGAAGTTTTGCTGGCCACTTTCCATGTCCAAACTGAGAATTCGAAGTCAAGTATCACTGATGGGTACTCGCTGATCTACAATTTCATGAACATCTTTAATGTACAGCCAAGCTCTTCCTCCTTTTCTTCCTGCTGTGCCCTCTTTAACCATTGATCTAATGTCAAGTCAAAAATCTCCAAGGTTGGCCAATTAATATAAATGTAGTTATTCTGGTGAAATTTTTACCTTTTCCAACTTCTCTGCCAAACCCTAAGTGATTTTAATCACTCTACTGGTTGAAGTGACTCAAATATGATTATGAAGCCTAACTAAATTCACATTTGTTAACATGCAAATAAGAGTAGATTCTCTTCCACTGTTTTGTAATTTCACCTTGTCTCAGCTGTAGAAATTTTGTTTCTAACAGATTCTGATTGAGTTCTGTGATACGACAATTTAAAAAATAGGATTCATGAAATATTTAGCTAAACGAAGCTGTTTTGTCTAACAGCGTTGCCATGTAGGATTTATAAAACATGCAAAGGCAGGCCTGACTCATGTGAAGGGAGCCCTGCTTTGTTGGGGACTGAGGCTCCCTCTGCTCCACATTGGAATGAAGAGAAACTCGTCCACACAGAACCAGAATTCCTCCCCCTGCTTCTTCACCACTGTGCAAAGCTCCCCACTCTGCCCCTGGGCACCAGATGCCTTCAGATTTTACCCACTGTTGCACTGGCATTTCTTTTCCAAGCATAAATATGTAGAACAAAAATTGTAAAACTCAGGAAATGCTACCAAAGAAACAGAATTACATGGTGTCTTGTTTCAAGGCTGACAGCTAAGTAAAGAAGGAAGTATTCATTGTGATGCGTCACGTTTCTTCATCCTGTGTGGCTCTTTCAAACATCCCTGGGTTAACAAAGTGAATCGGTAAAAATCTGAAAATGCTGACTCATAAAGAAGACCTAAGTCACATTCAAACCACTGAATCCTATTTCTAGTAGATTACAATATAATAAGTTGTTATTTTACTGAATACAGACCAAAGCAATTTTATTTCATAAAGATATGGTTTATGAATATTAAAACCCATGTTTTATTATTCATAGAAACTTTGCTAGGTGATCTGCACAACACTCAGATTCACAAAGGAATTTAATTCTTTCATTTTTGGTGATTTGTAAATACAACTTGTAACTTAAAATAATTATACAGATGTTCTTTATTCCATGATTTCATTGGTATATTAGTTGAGATAGAATAGGTTTCCTACAGCCAGTTTCTTAGCCTTATACATGTATGACTTTTACATATTCAGTTATGTGATATAGGGGTTTCCATGTGCACTCTTGACACAAGCGTGAAAAAAATCATTTATGCCTTCTCATTTTAGGAACAAATGAGATAGTCTTCCTATCTCTCTATCTACAGCAAAAGGGTTCACAACTTGCAAACACCCAGAATATGCACAGAGGTCAACCGAGAGGTCAGTGTTGCCCTAAAGTTTGCCACATGATAAAAATTGCTGGAGGATGGATAATGGAGTTCTGATTTTGAATTGCATATTCTTATTGTGTTCTCAGAAGAGGAAACATTCAAAAGACAGGCCAAAGAGGAGTGTTTTCCTACTTCCATGAGTAAAGCCCAATAGATACCAGGACAAAAAACCAGGAAGCTCTTTTTCAGAAGTTTGACTTGAAAAGAAACGACAGCAAAGTGTAGCAAGGGGAGAGAAGGAAAAGTTTCACTGAAGTATTTTCCATGGATTATAGAAATAACTATGTGAAGCATATAATTTACGTTATTTTACTGTTTTTGCCTTATCTGCATACTGTACTTTGGTTACTTGTATTCTGGAAAGTTAACTGCAAAAATTCTTCCACATACATTAGAACAAGAAGAATCTACAGTGATATATGCAATGTCCTAACCACTGAAGTTTTTTTAAACACTTCAAACTTCTGTGTATTTAAGAAATTATGTGTGTTTTCCATAAACCTTCATACAAAGTTTAAGAGTCATTTTGTGTGTGTGTGTGTGTGTGCGCGCGCACGTGTGTGTTAGTTACTAGGATTGAAGTCAGAGCCTTTACCCTGAGCTACATTCTCGTTCCTCTCTTTTTAAAAACTTTTGTGTCAGGGTCTTGCTAAGTTGCTGAATTGTCCACCCTGTACTCCATCTTGTGGTTTTCCTACCTCAGCCTCCCAAGGTGCTGGGTTTTTGAGCATGTCCAGGTAAGATTTCATTTATAACCAAACATTAATCCTAGAATTCTTGGTGTAGAGGATAGGAGTTGCTTGTCATTTTCCTTTTTTACAAATGTACACGTGCACACTCACAGAAAAAAACAACAACAATCCACACAATTACTAGCACATTTTAAAAAATCCAGATCCCCCTTCTCATTTCAATCCAATAATTCAGATTTTTCACTAACTCAGCATTTCTTATCCATGTAGTTACGATTATAGTGTAATAATTGTTTAAAAGTGCTCCCCAGTTAAAATTGTATACTATTACATTTAGATACTTAAAAACTTGAACTAATTTTTTTGTGCATTTGAGAATAGGTAGAAATCTCTTCATAGTGGCCTGAAGCAGTCACTGAGATAGATGAGTCCATAGACACAGCAAGAATCCTCCTCATGTTTTGTTTCTCCTTAGAAAACTAGTGTACGTTCATGAATCACCACCCAAGGCACATATTTTATCCACTACCCTCTGACACCCACTCTCTGAACATCACCACGGACAAAGTACAGAATGGTGCATAGCCTGAACGAGATGTGGTATAGTCAGCAAGACAAATCATTCTTCATCCTCTAAAAGACAGTCAAGGAACCACTGCAAGAAATGCAGCAGCAGCTCTGAAAGACAGCAAAAGAATATGTATCACAAACCTCAGTGTTTTACATGAGATTCCTCCATTGTGTAGGGCTGAGTCCTGCCTCAGTCCCCTGTAACAACACTGAGCAAAAAAATGAAACCAGCACGACTTGAAAAACTCACAAGTGCTCCACATTTAAGAAAGAGACATCTTAAGTTAGTGTATTGGGCCAGCATGAGGAAGCTTTAAGAAAATTCTCCTAACAATGAAGTGTAAATGTATCATCAGTGCAGAGGCTGGCAGGTCCCTGACTTGATTTCTTCCAAGCAGCAAGAATGAGCTCAGGAAAGAGGCAAAGGGCGATGGGACCAACAGTGTGGTAGCGCCATGTGGCGCTGATACACGCACGTAATCCTCTTAATCCTTTTTCCACTCCTTAGCCCTCCTCTGAGTCCCTGCTCCTTCCAGCGCTTCGTTTCACTCCCGTTTGCAAAGCTCTGTTTTCATTTTTCCTTTCAACTCTTTTTCCTAATCCCCTCCCTTAATTCCCTTTCCCTCTTCCCCTTCCCCTGTTCTTTATCTCCTTTTCCTCTTTCCATTTGAAAAAGGTCTCTCTACTTCCTATGATCTATCTCTTACTTTGCGGTATAAGACTTTTCTTCAGGCCTCACTTATTTTTGGCACCACTATGAAAAGTCTATTTTTAAATATCACATTTTAAAATAGTCCTTAGTATGAGTAGTTATATCTTAATGTTATATTTGGCTATTTTTGTAAACATACTTATTTGACAATTGTAGTAATTATTCCTTTGTGGATTATATTGGATTATTCATAGGCAAAAACACTATCTCCAAAAACACTGTTTTGTTATTTTTATTCAAAGTTTCATAAGTTTTTAAATGTCTCCTCATTCATAACTGTATTACAAAGCTCTTCTTAGTCTTAGCATTAGCATAAAATATTCTACATTTCACCATTCAGCATACTGTTTCTGTATTTTTTTTTTACCATACACCTTTTATTGGATTACTACTATTTTCTTCCACATACATTACTTCAATGATAAATGTTACTAAATGATATTTAAATATCTGTTAACTTTCAAAGTTCAATCAGGAGTGAAATCACACAGCAATTTGATCAGAAAACATTTAGCATGAAGAATTATTGAAGTCACAGTGAATCTGTGTTATGGATCTATGGACTTGAAGTTTTCTGTTTGTTCAGCTAGCACTTCAAAAGCACCAGAAAGTTCTATTTCAGGTGCTTGTTTCTCCAGATCAAACACATGAATGATTTAAAGCTAGATCAGGCCAGTAACCTGGCAAAGTAAGAGACACGGTGCTTTTAGTGTCCTATTATAACTCTGCTCTGATGTGATTACCTAATAAACTGCAAGGCAAACAACAAAAGAAAGTAAACCACAATTTTTGTGGCCCTCAGATTTCCCTTGATGTTGAGACCTTGTTATCCTTTGCTGAGGAACAGAATCTTCCTGAGAGGTTTACATAGGGAAGAGATTAAAAAGACCAAACATATCTGGGATATAATAAAAGGTATGAAATGTTCTAGAATCAATAGCCATATAAGGAAACCTTCCAGCTTCCCTTCATTTGATCTTTCAAGTCCAGTTTCCTTCATATTTTTAAATCTGCATGGCCTCACATCTGCTTTACTACATGATGAGAATAACAAAAAAATCCCCAACAACATCACTGCAATGACACTCTGATCTCTCCTCTCTGAGTGAAGGAAAATAAACTTGGAGAAACCGGCTACTTTGAACAAATAAAATATGCCCAGTGTAGTAGAAGGTCAACTGGGAAAATGATTGATTACCTCCTAGGCATTAGGTACAATAATTCTTCCTTGTCCATGATGTGAACCTGGAAGAAGCACAATCAAGTATCATTGCATTAATTTTCTCAAAGCAAACCAACTCTGAGGACCTAATGAACAGACACACTTCCATCAGGCAAGGCAACTTTTCTCTTGTCTCTTTCAGTGCATTTAATTAGTGCTATGAAAACTTGCGAAAAATTTCCAAGAAAAATGATCCCATTACAAGAATAAAAATGACGCTTAGCAGTACAGTCACATGTCTGGAAAAAAATGGCCACCCTAATATCTCTGATTGTTTTACTCATCTGCTTACTTAAGCTACTAGCATATTTTCTGTATTGCGCTAATGTTCCTATTTTATTTTCTTCTAAAT